ATATTACATCAACCAAGTAATGTACCAGCATATGCATTCTACACTGGAAATGGCACAACTAATATTGCATGGATAACGGTTTGTGCGCAAAATTTAAAAGAAAACGCTTTTGTCGCTAGATATACTAACTTTGCAGATAAGGTAGGTGTTAAAACAATTGTGAACAAATTTGACCTAAACATAACAAGTCCAAAAACGTATGCAGTTGTTACAAATGCAAACGAGATAACTATGGATATGGTAAATGCAATTCCAAATGAATATGTGTTTAAAGCAAATCATGGATCGGCGATGACAGTCATCGTTAAGGTAAATTCGTACAGATGTTATGGTACATGCAATCAAAAAAATATTTAGAAATGTCAAAAATATTACAACTCAATTTTTTGAAAATAAACTGTAAAAATGGCTATCGATTGATTTTGGTAAAATTGCTAATGAATCTTACTACTCGAAGATTAATCGGAAATGTTTTTGAAGAAATGATATTACAAAATGTTGACTACAAAATTTTTGTTTTCCATGGAAAACCGGTACTAATTGATGTACACATGCAGCGCTTTAATGGACGTCACGAAGCGTTTTATACCCCTTCCTGGCGAAGAATAAATATAAAGAAATATGATCTACCCACAAATAATATTGAAAACCACATCGTTTACAGGAAATGTTACAAATAGCCAAACACCTCTCACGTGACATAATAAATTTTGTTCGTGTCGATATGTATTTAAGTAACCAAACCATTTACTTTTCAGAACTTAGTATGTTTCCAGATGCATGTACAATGTCCTTTAAACCACCCGTTGCAGAAAAATTTAATGGTGCACTTGCTGCGGGCGGAAATCAAGATCCTGAAAGCATCATTTCATTATTACAAAAAGTTGAAGATACCTAGGTACATTCGGATATGTGCTTTCCTACTGCAAAATCGTTGAATTATAAGGCTTTATCATAACGATCTATTCAGATCGTACAGGCTGTATGCTTATAACCAAGTTAAAGTCGACCATATGTATCTAAAATCAGGCATAAGGGAGACCAGATGGATTCAGTAGACATTTTTTGTCTCCCTAATATTTCAACCTCAATTTTAATACAAGTTATAAAAAGTAACATCTCAAATCTCTAGCAACTAAATATTTGATTGTTTAAATGCAACATTCTTAGTGTTTAAAACACTTTATGCTAAAAACAGTTGTTATTTTTAAAATGCGTTTCTTAAATTTGCTGATGTATATTTTCAAGTGCACATAATGAGGGGCTAGGGTCTAGCAAATACTGAAGACGAGATGGTGGCGCTATCGTATGAAAAATGAATGGTGAGGTTATAGATCTTTTTATCATACCAGCTTAATGATTAGATTAAAAATGATTGATATCTTGAATGATCATTCATTAATTAAATGTTGTATGCTGTGCTTTTAATTTATTGATTTCTGTTGAAATGTATTCAAAAAGCTATCCAACTCAAACCAAGGTTGAGCTCATGATAAATTTAAGCTAAAGAACTTCAGCGAATACAATTATCAGGTCTAAAAAAGTTCTATATTTACCGATAATCTGTAAACAATCTGTATTTTATCTTATTTTACTTTTGGCTATTATGATATCATTTATTTCTCTCATGTGTATATAAGTTAACAATTATTTTAAGTAAGTGTGTCGCTAATATATAAAAATGTAAGAAAAATAAAAGTTCAAATTTCTTAGTTGTAGTTAAATGGTATTGGTGAAAAGAAGTTTATTGTCAAACCTTTTTGAAACATTAAGTTAGATATTTTTTGTTGTATATTTATTTTTTGTATTGTATGTGAGGCGCAGTCTGCCAAAATATTATTGATGTTTTTTGTTTATATTTTAACTTATCTCTTTTTTATTTTCTGCATCAGTGGAACATTTATTGTCTTCAAGACATACATTTTACGTTAGATATGTATAAAAAGATTTCCTTTGAATGGAATAATGAGTGTATTTTATGCCCTTGAACATGTACTCCAGAGGGTTAGCTTTTCTTTTTAAAAACAACAACATTGATCACAAAATTCATAACAAATTTATTGACCCAATTGGAAATATTATGATATTAGACTTAAATATTGAAGGGCAGAAGATTACTCTAACATATTTATATGACCCAAATTCGGATAACCCCGAAATTTTTAATGAAATATTTAGCTAAATTGGCAAGATAGGGAATAATTCAAATATATATTATGCGATGATTACAATTTAGAGTTAGAACCATTAAAAACCTCTTTAACTACACACCAGGGGAGCGTTTCACTAACGTACGTACGTTATCGTAACTCGAGTTTGAACGTAAGTTTTTGCGTAAGCAGAACTTACGTATTTATTTGCGTTTCACTAAACTTTCTTAGCTGCGCATATGCGTAAGTTTAAACGTAAAGTTACGCTCATTTATTGCTGACGTAAATTGCTCGTGCAGTGCGTAAATATGGCTGCCGTATTATTGTTTGACACTGAGAGACGCCGACCTTTGCCACGAATTTTCCGTGAACGGACAGACGTCCTAGACAATTTGAGGGACAGGGAAGTGGTTGAACGGTACCGGGAAACAATTTTTGATTTGCATAATCTCATTAAAGATTATATAAGCTCATCTTCAAATAGAAGTTTTCCTGTGCCGCCTTTGACAAAGGTACTGTATGCCAATAAATATTTCGTACAATTGCATGATATTAATTAGCTCTACAATACAGTAGGGCGACAAATCTAGCTTGATATTTTCGGTGTTTTCCTATAGTTGTTTCCCTTGTAATTTGTTTACATAGTTGACAACAACAATCAAAGTTCAAGGACGCTACAAATTCATTTAGTCTAGCGGCAAATAAGCAAGCCAAACTTTGTCAACATTTCGGATAGTTACTAGTACCTGTACCACAGCACTAATTTGTTGATGCACGATTCATCACACGCTCGATAAATACACTTTTTTTCTAAACAAGTTAAACTCAGTTGTCAATGGGTCTGTAGCTATCCAACCCACATTTTATTACCACCCTTGACTCCACTACTGCTACAGTATTTGTTTCACAATTGACAAGTCGTCTTGTGAAAAATATCCTTTTATCTCAATATTTACAAACTCCCACTCCCTTTATAGTATATTTACCTCGTGATTCTCGACCTCCCTTTATGATTATTTATAAATTATGTGTGCAACTTTGATTGACAGTACCCCCCCCAGACACTTCATCTTAAGTTATTTTTCGCAGACACTTTAGCCTACTGTACCACTTATTTTATGAAATCTTTCATTATCTGGTTGAGACACTACACCCCTTCCACCCAATTTTGTTTTGTGCTTTTCAAATGAAGGTGAGATGTAAACAATGTTTGAAGATGAGATGTAAACAATGGTGATTGTTTTAAAATATTTTTTATTATATTATCAATACATGTATGTACACACATGTACAATGTATAGACTTATAGTAATGAAATAAAAATATTGTTTTCTTCAAACAAGATATATATTTTTGAAATAGCAAATAGAAATGGTCATGATATATTTCTTTCTAAAATTTATTATAACATTATAATTTGACTGACTAAATAACTCACTTTACATCTGTTAATTTAAATAGGGCTTGAGGGTTAAATGTCTTCAAACTATGATGGTTGAATTGTCAGGGGTGAAGTGTCTTGTACAATCCCCCCCCCCACCACCCCCCCAGAAAAAAAAATATGTTATTCTTGTCTTTCACCGTTTTGTGGAAAAAATCCACTACATATAAGTGAAACATATAAATGGAAACATACGAGGGGTTATCTAAAAATTCGTGGACTTTCTTTGTTGCGTAAAATTTATTTGAGATATTAATTTGAAATTCTTACACTGCTTAGAAGAATTAATAACAAATAAACACAGGAAAATTCATGTGAATAGCTTCTTACATTACAACAATATTTAATTTTACATAAACACATGTCGGCGACAGCGGCGCACTCCAAAAAATTATTGACGTCAACGTCATAATATTAACGTACAATTTGTGCTTCAACGTTACGCAGTCAATGACTGTTACTGCTTCTCAAAGTAATGTCCATTACTAATTTTTTTATGCCACTTTAACACTAATGATCGTGAAATATTCTTTTCTCTGTTCGTCTGCTGATTTTTATCAAATGTTTCTGTAGGTGTCATTTCAAAATTGCAATAAAAATTTATGATTGTTTATGATCATGCGATTTTCTAATAATCGCGTGTCCGTCATTTTCCCGTTGTAAACAATAAAGGCGTCTGGCGTTTCTAGCGATATCAAAAAAAAAATAAAGGTAAATGACGTCCATAATTTTAAAGAATTACTTAAATGACATCATAGATGAAACATGCGATGTTCAGCGGGTTTTCTACGTTATTTTTTTAGTTTTTTAGCAAGAAGTATACGATGACTTACAGCGCTTTTCTACCGTGCGCCGGGTGACGTGTATGTGCTTATTTAAAAGCAATATAAAATCATTATTTATTGACATAATTAACTGTTCCTTTCAAAATGTGTTGATAATATTCTACAATGTATGCTGATAAATTTTCATTACAATACACGTTGACGTTCAAGAGATATTTAAAAAGTCCACGAATTTTTGGATAACCCCTCGTATAAGTGCAAATTCATAAATATTATACTTGAGATAAATGCAAATACAATGAAACTTATTCCTAATTATAAATTTTGAAGATTTTGTTACACAAAATCGGGTTTTATTTTATCTTTTTGTTTATATAACTCATTATGTATGTGCAGCAAATAGGCCCCATATAAGTTTAAAAAAAACTTGAAAACCCTCCTTCCATAGGTACATGTGCTGTTTCCCACAAAAGAGATGCAAAGCCAGGCACAATTGAAAATAACAAAAATAAGTTTCACTACAATGAAAAATAAATACATTTTACAGTAAAATACGGAAAATAAAAAAGTACCCATTTTATTTCTTCAATATTTCATAATATTTCATTTATAAGTATATAATAAATGGAAGGTAGCTTAAAAATCAATTGCATCTTGTAGATTATGGCCTAACCAGTTACACAATTTTAATGAAATTTGTGGGTTTTTTAGTTTTAGAACTGCCCTGTATCATCTAGCTGCAATTGTCATAAATTTTGTTTGTATTTAATGAAAATATGCAAGGCATCAGCATTTGGTGTAGAATTTTATACAATATAATAATTTGTTGTATTAGCTGACATATATTACCACAATTCTCATAATATGCAGTACTTATGTGTTTATAAGTTTTGTTCAGTGTATATATCTTACAAGAAAACTTTACACATTGCTCACTATTCACTATTAAACAGAATGTGACATCATTTGTTTATTTTCAGCTTCTGGTCACTTTGAGATACTTGGCAAAGGGAGATTTTTTCAGTGAGACTGGGGATCTACATGGAATTAGTAGGAGTTCAGTGAGCAGACATGTATGGCAAGTAAGCACAAATTTTGTCTAATCAGTTGCCCTGATAATTATTGATAATGTTGATTTTATTTGTATGTTTAACTCAATCAATTACCAAATTAGTTAATTGAATTTTTAAGTCCTCATTTTAACAACAGTGGTGCTGTCCGACTATACTGGATGTTGGCACAACATTTTTTATTAAAAGTGTTATGCACAATGTTTGTGCAATCACATAGCAAAATGTTTTTCACATTCAAAGTGAAAACCCAATCTGCAAGATCAAATTAAAAAATCATAAAAGGTAACTATTAACTTGAAACTTTATAATTAACTGCATGATTATATAGTTGATGTCAATGACTCTAATATATAGGTTTTGGCTGACTTATGTTAATTTGTGAACTGGATAAGGTATGCAAGCGCTATAATTTTCAAGACCTGAAGGTACATGTGTATTTACTTGAAATATAAGAAATTGCTTAATTTTGCAGGTTGTGAATTCAATTGATGAAAAATTGAAAAACATAAAATTTCCAACAGCATCGGTGGATATATCAAGTGTGAAAAGAGCCTTTTACAAGGTGGCAGGTTTGCCTAATTGTGTTGGTGCTGTGGATGGAACTTTGATCCCAATCATAGCACCAGCAGGATTATATGAACCTGCCTTTGTTTGTAGAAAGGGATACCATGCCCTTAATGTGCAAGCTGTTGTTGACCATAACATGAGGTAAACAATTTGCAATGAGATTTCTTTTTCTTCCGTATTTGCAATTTGTATATTATTTAATTTATTTAAACATTTATGTTGCTTTTCACTGAATGGTTATCAGAAAGAATAGGTAATAGCATCTTATTTTTCAAATGCTGTAAACTGTCTTATACTTAAATTAACTTTGATTAGTAAAATATTTTCTTTAGCTGCCTTTATTAAAATTATTCACTTGACTATCTTGTGAACTCAATATTGAATAGAAGTAATGTAAAACAATTACATTTATATAGGTTCACCGATGTTGTTGCTCGCTGGCCTGGGTCCACGCATGATGCCACTATCTTTCATGTGTGCGGTCTCAGGCAGAATTTAAAAGATAACAATCTGGGTTGGTTGTTATGGGATTCTGGTTATCCTCTTCGCCCTTATTTGATGACTCCAAAGGTATTGACAACATTTATAACAGATAATTCCGCCAAAGCTATTTTTGCTCTGGAAAAACTGAGGGAGTGGATAGTTTGAAATTCTCTTTGCTAGTTATTAGTACATACTTGAATTAGTTTTCACCTCATGTTGCCCCTATTAATGACAGCTATTCCAAACACAAAAAACAACAACAACATCTTGTAACATATAAATCTTCATTTTTTTGCCATCATAAATTTATAGCATAAAAACAATAACAATATCATTAAACATATTAATCTTCAATTTTTCCATCATAAATTTATAGCATAAAAACAATAACAATATCTTGAAACATATTAATCTTCAATTTTCCATCATAAATTTATAGCATAAAAACAATAACAATATCTTGAAACATATTAATCTTCAATTTTCCTCATAAATTTATAGCATAAAAACAATAACAATATCTTGAAACATATTAATCTTCAATTTTCCATCATAAATGTATAGCATAAAAACAACAACAATAAACAAGAAAGAATTTGGTGAATACAAACAAATAATAGAATAATGTTCAAGTGCTTGGCTGGCTATCAAGATTTTAATCAGTTTGTATTCATGGCATTTGAAATTTCTATATATCATATTAAACAGGAACATACTTTATTCGAGATTTGGTTTACATATTAAAGCTTGTTGTCATAGAAAGGACTGATTGTGAAATATTTGTCTTAGTTTATACAGTTATAGAAATTTATTATTTCAATTTAAGATCAACCCTGGACCAGTTAAGGAGGAGAGGTACAACAAAGCTCATAGCCAGACAAGGATGATGGTGGAAAGAGCATTTGGAATGTTGAAGTCAAGATTTAGGTATTACGCCATGCATGCACTTGAATGTATGATACTGAGTTTTATAGCATGTTACATAATTGGATGACACCAATTTTTAAAGACTCAACTATGTTTATTATTTACCATGTTACATAGAAATAAGCTTTAATACTGCATGTCTGTAAAGTTGCTTTCCATCGGATGATTTGATACAAATCATATAAAGACTTCTGTAAGTTTACAAAGTAATTTTCGGTTTCAATAAAATAAAGGTTATTTGCTGTTTTATAATTTGTTTGCACCTTTCAAACGACTTGACAGTTTGTGTTATACATATGTACATACATGCTACTGTTTTTATAGGGATCATAAAAATGGTAACCCTTCAAAATTTGTACCACAATATTTATGAATAAGATAACTTAGAACGTAAAGGAATTATAAATTGATAATTTATCAGTGATCTTCTGAAACTCATTCATTAAGATCAGTCCGACTCATTTTTTACAATTGATAATGATTCTTAATTTTTTTCAGGTGTTTACACAAAACAGGAGGTTGTCTGCCCTTCACCCCAGAGAAGTCTGCCAAAATTGTCAGTGTCTGCTGTAAGCTACACAATGTTTGTTTGGAAAGAAACATTCCTTTAATAGGAGATATATTGATTGAAGACACTTTGAATAATGATGATGTATTTACAATATCTCAGAGTATTCAAACTGGAATGAATACTAGGGCTACCCTAATTGATCTTTTATGAGTTTTAGCCTGACCTTTTTTTTTGATAAAAAATTAGAGGTATTATTACAGTCATGTTGGCGTTTCTGCTGCTGTCCACAAACTTTAACATTGATCATAACTTTATTTATGTTATATACATATAAATGGTGGTTGTTTTGTCTGCTCTGTAACTTCCAAATACATGAAAGTTTCAATTTTTATTTAAAAATTTAAAGTCACCATATATGGACAATGTGTTTTGAACAAGACCCAGGGTTCTTTGTCTAACTTCAAGTTCACTGCTGGGGTTCGACCTTTGTCAATTTTTACCACCACACTTACCATGTAATAGGTGGTCTATAACTTGATTTATTGAACTTGTAGAACAAAACAATATTATGCTCGCCAGAGTCCTGTTGTTCACAAAAAAAGTAATCATCTAATTTTTAGCTCACCTGTCACAAAGTGACATGGTGAGCTTTTGTGATCGCTTTTCGTCCGGCGTCCATCCGTTCGTCGTCCGTCCGTAAACTTTTACTTTAAACGACATCTCCTCATAAAACACTCGGCCAATTTCATCCAAACTTCACAGGAATGTTCCTTTGGTAGTCAACTTTAAAAATTGTTCAAAGAATTAAATTCCAAGCAGAACTCTGGTTGCCATGGCAACCGAAAGAAAAAACTTAAAATATCTTCTTTTAGAAAACCACAAGAGCTAGAGCTAAAATATTTGGCATGAAACATCACCTGGTCAGTGTCTACCAAGTTTGTTCAAATAAATGCCCCGGGGGGTCATTGATTTTCCTTTTTTTGTATATAGTAAAAACTTTAAAAAATCTTCTTTTAAAAACCTCAAATAGCTAGAGCTTAAATATTAAGCATGAAACGTCTTCTAGTTGGTGTCTACCAAGTTTGTTCAAATAAACGTATTAATAGGAAAATACATACATAAGTTTAAATTTAGGATTTTCTAGCATTGTCAAATAATAATGTATATTTAACAATCGTGTAAGTTATTCTTAACATTTTACAAATTAAATTGGAATATATAAATAATAAGAGAGTTACTAATTGGGTAACAAGTTACCTACATGTGTAAGACTTCATATAACCAATTTCAAATGATGAATTCTAACATGACCTGGATGTTTCCTATTGAACAAGAAAGCACCGAAAGTGTTTGTAAAAATGCAATTACTACATTTAGACTACCATATCAGTTATAAAAACTTTGACAGGTTATATGGCCCTATATAAATGGTTGTTTGTAAATATAACACGAGCCGCTAGGCGAGGGTTATATTTACAAACAAGCGTTCATATACAGCCATATAACCTGTAAGAAATATTGATAACAAATTTATAACACAGCAAGCATCATTTTTAGAGGAATAAAGCGAGATTTTTTTATAAATCAACAGCAGCCGTGTATATAAAACTATATAAACGTCACGATTATCCAATGAAAAGCAACATTACAAACATGCAGTAAATGTTATGCAATCACTATATGTGACACGCGGGAAAAAGTAAAGAAACCAAAATTGTGATTTAAGGTATAGCACCATGTTTAAGTTAATGTCATGTTAGAATCAAAATAATATATCCCAATCAGTGATTTTATTGCTTTATAAAATCACTGTTTGATGTCCGGATGTGCAGCATGTTATCACGAGAGATGTGCCTTCTTTATATAATCTCTGGCATCCGAAATCAAATCAATGATTTTAATTTAGCTGTAAAATCACTGCTTGGAATATATCATTTCTTTTGTTTACTATATATATTTAATTTCCACTGTCATTCCTTAGTATATGATTTTATGACTGCATTTTGTCTTTGGAAAATATATACTTTGATATTTAAAGTTCAAGGAGATTATCCATACTACTTTTGTATGCAATAATATCAGTTAGTCTCTTTAACTCACTAGAAATTGACCCCAGATTTTCATTTTGCTGCTTTTGTGTGTCGAGAATTTCTTCTAGAAATTTGCACTTTTTTCTTTCAATATCAAGAAGTTATTGATATTTATCTGTAATTGAAATAACATATTGTAATAATTGTAAAAATGTGCTACATGAAAATATTATTTTTGATAGTTTAGGGTATAATTATATCATAGTTATCAATCTCAGCAAAGGCTTGTAGCCATTTCTTGAACCTGTTAATTAAATTTTACATTTTATCCAGCTACTATCTATATTATCATCTGGAAGCCTTGCCGGATAAACTTATCTTAATTCCAGTCATTACGTCATAATAATGATGACCTCACATGGTAAACAAGAAAACAAGACAAAACTTCATCAGGGAAATGTAAGATGGAACTCTTTTACTAGTAAATTTTCTAAAAACATGATCAAAAGGAGGATAATTCAAATACATGCTCGGTGTCGGCCAAAAGCTCTCCAAGATACACTTTCTCGCGCAACGGATAAGCCTTCTCTATCAAAACATCAACAATGTATTCTTTATATATGGTAATTCATATGAGAATTTATGTATTTCATATGGTTTGAAACCAGTTGCTTTGTATGTCAGAGATATTTCCAAATTTACTTTCTACTATATCCAGTTCCTTGATTCTCTGATTGTGACATTTTACTTAGGATGCCATATTGAATTTCTTTTAAATTTAAGAAAAAATACATTGCACTTTTTGAAATTCCTTAAGTCATTTCTTTAATAAACCGGACATATATTCACAATAATACAATTTGGAAGATTTATTTCAAAATACAGCAATATTTCCATGAAAGTTTCCATTATACTTGATGTGTTTTACCTGTTAATGAACAGCTGGAAATAATTTGTAATACATTTACCTAATGGTTCACTGACTGTCCTTTTTCTTTTATCCTGGAATTTTGAATGTTGTGAAAATTCAGAATTGAATTTTTTTAATTTCTTCAAATGAATTATACCATTTTTGCCTGTTGTGAACATGTTATTTTGTTATTCAATTTTTTCAACGAATTTAGTAAGAAAATCACACAAAAATAATCAAATAGTAATAATTTTATCACATACCAGTACATTATGTAAGTATTATTTGTAAAAAAAACAGTTTATTTTGTAATTTCCATACCTACAAGCTTATTCTGTAATGTTTTCAAATATTTAGTGTCATTTGAAATGACAAGTCATATAATCTTATACTGAAAGTTATTCACATAAGTGTAGTAGCAATTTTGCTGACTTGCAAAAGCTGTGCTGGTATATGAAAAGAAAATCATTAATTTAATATTTCTTAATAATAAGGTATTTCCACAACATTTGATTAACCTTTTGCCTGCTGAATTATTGCGATAGACATCCAACCACAAATTTCAGTACTTTCCATGCTCCATTTGTGGATATGAAAATTGAAAGACAGCCTGGCAAATGTATAGAGCCTGGCCAGATTTGACAGCTGTGTATTTGACTTGGCTCTGTGTAGGTGGCAACATTCAAGCAGGTGAAAGGTTAATAAAATGGTTTGATATTCATTGTCATATAAATTTGTAATATGATATCAAGCAATTCAGTATTGAAATATGTGCAATAAAATTTGAAATGTCCTTGAGTTTTATTGATTCATAATTAGCAATCTGTAAATACTTTATTATGTTACACTAAAAAGGTTCATTAAGTGTCTGCAATTGCTTATAACTATGTTTTGTGAAAAGAGACTTAAGAGAGTGAATGATGTGAAATTAGCAGTACAGATAATATTGTCTAGTTTTCATACAGGGGACACAGACATTTTACTCCACATGAATATTATGATGCATGTACATAGAAAATATTATGCTTGAACATATGGAAACATATAATTAGACTTACAGAGTTACTTGTATTAACAAGTGTAGCAGATGGTGCTGATTCTGCCAAATTACCAGTACTTGAAGCATGCGCATCTCCATCATTTGTACAAGAAGCTTCTTGCACATTGCTGGTAGAAGAAGACACTAAAGACAAATAAATTTTATTTGTGAAAATAAACAAAATTAAATGCATATTTTCCTTTTCTGTGAAAATTAGTTATATACTGAATGTCAAACAAAACTCATTTCTGTTTCAAAGTTAATGGTGTCTGATGAATTAAAATTTTTATGCTATAGTTTTACCCATTAAATCCACAAATATATATGCAACTATTCCATACTACTAAGCAGTATTGGATTTTTCAGCTGCCTAGGAACAAACAATGCTTGGGTAGCAAATCCCAAACTTAAAATCATAAAACTGAGAATCAATATAATAGCATGAATACATAAACAAACTTTTGCAAAAAAATTTTTAATTAAATAATTTAAAAGAACAGTAGTATAGCAATTGAGCGTGTCTAGAACACCTTACCAAAAAAAACTATATATATACTACCTGTAGTATCCCCCCACTGGAACACTTAAGAAATATAAAAAAAAATTATTGGGATAACGGAATGAAAACTATTTCAGGGTTGGAAAAAAAAATATACTCGTTATACCCCCATTGTAGAAATGCTATAGTAATGCTTTAGTAATGCTATAGTAATGCTTAAGAAATGCTTTAAGAATGCTAAATAATTAATAAGGTATAAGATATTACCCACCAAAAAAAAATTAACCTCTAGAGGGATCCCTTGAAAAAAATGAAAAAAATGAAAAAATAAATAAAATTAGGTGATAAAACGAAAATTCATTAACGTTTAATCAACCCCGATGCCGCCGCATACAATAAACCAGCAACCAACAAAACTACAGACCATCAATGTATACAACCTTACCGGCAGAGGAAAGCAACCAAGAAACAATAGCACCGATAATACCAGGTAATGCTTCTGCTGTTTTTCCTGCAAGACTGGCTAATAGTTAACCAAGATTACTTAATTTTTTTTTATCCAATCATTTACACCATCTTTTGGAGGAGGTTTTGATGGAGTTGTAGTTCCACCACCTGTAGTAGGAATAAAAGTCTCAACAATAACCATTCCAAAAGCAGTTAAAACACTAACAATTGTAATTCCTTGTTCTTTAAATAAAGTTTTTATTCTTTCAGCTAATGTAGTGTCTT